ACCGAAGGGAACTGCCGCCATTCTCTGTGTTTATAAACCGCGCGTATTCGTATAATACGGTACTGTTGTTCAACACATTACAGTTATACACGACAATTAAAAAGTTCTCTCCTTGAATGTTGCTTCGGCTTTTTCCATGGCGAATGAACATGAATGAGCTTTCAGCTCTGACGTTTTCGCACGTGATTACACAGGTTGACTTAGTCGTGTTGCTAAACACATCTTCGCACCACGTTTTGCTAATCAATCTCATATGTTAACATGCCGGGAACTGTTTCCAACTGACACCTAAAAATTTACTTTTTCGTTTCAGTCAATGTCCACTTTGGGGAAAATGAGCTCATGTCTTCCGAATTTAAAACCTCTAGATGGTACCTTACACTCAATAAGACCACAGACTCCGTTCCGGATTCAGAAGTACCAAACAGAGCCCTCTCTTTAACCGAACCATTGAGATTATACGAGATACCTGCGGTAAAAAAAAAATTGTAAGGATGTTCTATGAGACTTAATTATTTGAGATCGTTGGAAACCTTTTTGAATACCTGCTTTATCTACGAAGCCACTTTTGTTGAAACATAGAAAAAATGATGTCTTGTAAAAGACTAAGTCCTTGGATAAACACATCCAAGGACTTAGTCTTTGATGTCGCTGTGTTACCGATACTTATTTCCTATTTTGATTCCCATAGTTTGTTTATCAAAGTTTGCTATCACATATTCTCGAAACTACTAAAAATTGTCTTTGAATGGAAACGCGATAATGCATCTCTTTCTACAATACCTCGCGCAGTATCGTAAAATAATAAATTGTTCCAGCTTTTTTTTTTATCAACAAAAGACTCCTAATAATCACTTTCTAGATTATTTAGTTCCTGCCAAATAGATGTCTGCTTTTGTTAAACCAGTTTCGAACACGTCACCTTGTTGTACATCATCGGGAGTATTGAGAGATATATCGTTCTTCTTATATTTATCGATACCGAAGCACCCCTGGTCATTGAAGTAATCTGCTACTGACGAGAGACCCTTTGTTATATATTTAATACCCAATGCCTCGGTGCCTATCGTCTTATCCGCAGCAAAACGACTGCTTAATATTGGTGTACAAAGTTAGTGGTTTTTTAAAACTATGCATATAATTTATTTCACTAGCAAACAAACCTTGACACTTCCGGCATTACACCCAAGCGATGCTAATGTCCGAGTCTTTTTGGATTGACTTGGGCGCCTTAACGAAGAACGTTTTTGTTTTACAGGTTTTACATTATACCTGGTAACTTCTGCAGCATGATTCAAACGCAAGTATCAAAAACACGCCTCGACCAATTTTTCTACGGCTATCCTAAATGAATTATTTCCGCTCGATGCTTATGACTTCAATTATTTTTATTGCAAGACACACATTCGGACCCACCGTACCCGAGTGGATGCGCAGAGAATGCGCAGTTTAATTTTCGAGCCAAATTGGTATTCTCTGAATATCAGCGTTACCTATCCAAAATTATAGCCATATATATCTCGGATCTTTTTGTGACGTGCTTATGTAGGTAAGTACTATATTATTGTAATTTATGTATAAACAAGCGGCTATTTGTGTTCTTGAGTGAATCAAACCTAGCATTTGCAGCTCTAAACTGATATCCTTGCGTCTCTTTCCTAGATTACTCTTCCTTCTTAAGCGTAAGCTTCTTATCAAATTGTGGATCAGAAAGAATCTTCTGTTTATACCAAATAATGAATCTTTAATGTACTCCAATTGGCGTCGCAATGTCATAGGGTAAATCCTAATGCCTGGACAAGTGTGTTGATGAATGTACTCAGCTTACTTGGACAGTGGAACGTAGTCTGAGTGCAGATTTTCCGAATGATTCGCATATGTGACCTCATTGCCACCGATGTTTCATCAGTGCGTACCCTGCTATCGTATATAGCTTCTGTATAAAATCTAGGTGAGAAATTTGCGTTGTTGTGCTGCCTACTAGCGTCTCTTTCAGCTTCGTCCTTCCTAATATGCGAAAAGCCCTGGCGGTTGTGCACTATTGCTCTGAATAGTTGTTACCCACTGTGAAACGTTTGATATTATCGGGAAACTTCTGCAGTTTATGAGAAGTGAAGGCTTATTGGGCGATCAAGTGATTGGGTAATTTGACATATCGCCATCGTACTGAATAGCGATCTTGTTCGGGGGTGTTTGGCCCTTCAACTACAGTGAATTTGACCGAGGTTCAGATGGTTCAAGGCTTATGGTCTTATCTATTTGTCTTCACAATCCCTCTTAACACCGGTTTCTTTCAGCTTCAGCTCTTAAACTAACATGTTGATTTTATAATTATAACAAAATGGTTTACTGCTCAAAGCTGTTCATCGATCGTTGAAGAGCAGCCACATATTCAGAATTCCATTATTCGCAGTGCCATATTTCGAATATTTGGAAATTTCCGTACACTTTTTGTAAGCTCGTTCACGGGAAATTTTTCGTACTGCTCTGAGATTCGTTACGTCAGCAGGGCTTGCCGCGCTAAAATGCGTTTAATGCTAGTGTTATTGTTTTAATAGATTTGCCCTTACTCCTTGATACTGCTTGCATAATGAATGATTAATGGAGTCGCTTTACTTTGAGGCAAGGTGTTAGCAGACTTGTTGAAATATTTGAATGGGAAAACAGGGTACGTTAAGCAGAATAATTGCAACATAATAAATGTTGGCAATAGAGTAACTGAACCAGAGAGATAGAACTACTTTAACGGGATAACAAGCTGATAAGCAAGATGTCAGTAGAATCGGAACCGAATGGTGCGATTGAGCTATAAAGTATATTAGATTAAGTGAACCGTGAATGAAATTTGTTCATATAGAAAAACTGATACGTGTCATATATATCATACTGTGCGTTATGCTACAGATGAACAAATCAGCTGAATTAAATGAATTGCTGGTAAAAGAAGCGCAAAGCGAAGCCCATGGGTCCGTCTATTTTATTACCTTTCACCACAATAGTCCTCAAAGTGGCAAGTCACCGTAGTGCAAAGGCAGCCGTGGTGAACGGCGACAAAATTCATTACGCACATTAATACGTAACCGTTTATTCGGTTCGGATATTTCCAGAGTGAAAGACCGCGATGGTCAACTAGCAAAATTAAGAAGGACTATGAGCAGCGCAAGCGATCAATACGAAATTCAAGTCGGGAAAAAATATTTCTACATTAATTCTTGGTTATAATAAGAATCACCGAAAACCTGCTACTATTAGTCAAAGAATCGAGTAATATTCGGGTTAGAAATGAAAGGCAAGTGACATACCATAAACGTCAGCCCACTTAATAAAGGACAGAGTTTGCTCGAGATAATTCTTAAATTTTAAGTTCAGTAACTTAAACTGTTGTCTAGAAAAACCAAGGGCCACTATTGGAGAGCTTAGCGACGTGGTCTGCGTGGCTGATGCGCATATCTTTGAGTACGTTGCCGTGGTGGCGATTAGCTAATAAGCAAACAGCCACGGTGAGCCGGATTTCAGCATTCGCGAAAATTATTAGCAGAAATTGATTACCAGAAAAAACAGAAACGTAGTAAAAATAAGAATAAGCAATTACTGTTTGTATGGTTTTCACGCCGTTCCATTACCCATGGTGTTGGAGAAACTCCAAATAAGAAAAACTCATCTTAGTTAGTCCTAATGAAGACAAATACTTCAGGCAAAAAGGAGTGATTCCAAGAAATTGTTTACATAAAGGGAGTCACTAATTTAAGCCCCGTCAAGGATCTATACTTATAGATTTCTTATGCAAAGCTTGCATGGGACACCAACCTCGTCACAATTTTAGCCATCACCAGGACGATTCTGTGCATCTGGCTTTTGGACAAAAGCACCAGCAATTCAAATTATACACCAAATAGCCAACGAATCAGGCACAAGCAGCTCTGATCAGGGTGATGTGATAATCATTTATTTCTTATAATTGCCTGTTGAAATGATTGTCAAATAGAGATGCAGTAAGCAGTATTAATGCATTCTTTTCTTTCGAGTAAAGATACGTAAAATTGGGCCATCCGGCGCTAAACGCCGAATAGTTAGTATTAAGGCACCAAGTGTGAAATTTACTTCACGATCTCTTATGACTGACGATGCTAAGCTAATATTCACCAGTCGACAGTGCTTCGTCTCCTTCTTGAGGTTCGATTGTACGATACACTGTTCTGATGTATCGCTTCTGCTATAGAAGATATAGTTGATTACTATTGACCTGTTTATTAATTGCTAATTATGACAGTCTGATTGACTTTAATGATAAAAATAGAAATGCGCATATTTTCATTAAACAAAATATATTTATTATAAGTTTAGCGCCACCATATATACAGATATCATAATCCGCCCAATACGCACGCGGGATACCCATGTCACTAACTTTAATGACTATATGACTTGATGTTCCATGCAGTAGGCTGCATGTGATATTGCAGTGTAGATTTTTGTAGAATTAGTGGGTTCAATTCAGCTTAGCCATCTTTGTCGAGCGATGCGTAGATTCGATAGCCTTTTGTTTTATTCAAATAGCTAGTTGTATCGTGAAATGTCTGCCACAGCATTTGAATGCATTCATAACTTAAACTGTACGCATTACATTCTACGGATGGGAAACAACCTTTACGAAACAAGTATTAGTGTTGTTTAAATAACTTATAATGGAAGTCTTCTATAGGCGACCTTTGTGCCTAGACCATTTTTCTGGATGAACCTTGACTTTCCGCTAAATATAGTAGGCATACCAGAGCACATTATTTGTTTAAGCCAGGCCATAAAATGTGCCTACGTAAACGTCTAGCCGACCCTTCTTTGCTATGCCAATATTTTTACCGTTACACGGAGCACAGGGTCCCTTTACCACGCCTGAACTGCCTTCCCCATTGGTAATGAACTAGAAACAAAATGACCTTCCATTGTCCGTGCTTTCCCTCTGTTTGTATTTACAATGTAGTAGCCTATTCGGTGGATAGTAGATTCCTGAGTAAAAATTAAACCTTTACTGGTAACGTAAATCGAAACTATTATAAAGGCTGTGCCAGTAGAATATCATATAAGAACCATCCTGGCTTTCGGCTCTTCAGTTGAACTGGAGAAGTCAACCACATACAAACAAGCAAGGTTCTTTCAACTTTCTATCGCATAAGTCATTTTTTTAAAGTGTACTCCACCAAAAGGTTCATGGTGTTAACTCCGTTACAATAGATATGATAGTGTTCATGATAGTGAAATGCTTTTCTCAAGTGTTAACTGTGTTGATTATCATTGCTTATGCCGTAGCGGGTAAGTTCCTGAGCAAAACTTTCCACTATATATGTATATACATATAATGCTTGAGGCGTTTTTAATACGATGCGAATGTTCATATGTATAGCGAGATGTTTCCGGTCTGTATCAAAAAACAGGCATTGACGTCTGATAATATCATAAATATGTGTTTTTCGAGTAAGAAAGGTCATGTCGAATAAGAAATTATTGACTATCGATCGCGGCTACCATAGACAAAATTTCTACTGCTAGAATCATGATGCTGATTATAACAATAGGATCAAGTATTTACTTCCTAAGAAATTTCTATTTTGGTAAATTATATGGAAAGTATGTGTAAATGTTTATTTAAGTGTAATTTTTGAAGACATTTTAAAACGGACCAGTTATTGCCGTTATTTGAAAGCATAGTTCAGCATACACCAGTACATTATTCAAAGGACTCTCTATTGACAATGTCGATATCTAAAGAGTCCACTGTGAGATAGTAAAGGACATTTAACTCAAGCAACGTAGACTGAACCGTAATTGTAGATAGGCGCTGGATAATGTCTTTATGGCATTGTCCAGTGCCTATTTACGATTCATTAATGGCAAAGATTTTCAAAGAATTTTGTATTTTATATTGTTAAGAATACCATACTGATTCTAGTCAATCTATCTTTTTGTTATGCGCATGTGACATGGATTTCATTAAATAATGTAGCAAACGACACAAGAGACGACAGTAACTTCAAATTAACACAGACTATTCAAACAGTCCTGCTAACTATAACCGATTAAAAAACCAACGCATTTTGAATTTGAATTTTTGCTTGCACTTTCAAGGTGGAGAGAGGACTTCTGGTAATCACTGTAATTTCGGACGACGTTTAAGATTTAGACAGTAGTTAAAACTATAAAGCAATTCTGTAAATAGGATTAGATAGAGATTAAGGGTATTGGCGGGAGCAGCTTGTCAGTTGGGCAATGATCAGCAACCATTTGTGTGGATGGCATATAACGGGTGTTGACGGCGCTTTCTAACGATGCTGTTGGCAGTTACCGTGTACCGACAAGATTCAGCGTTAGTTCCGCCAAGTCGACGACTCGAAATTGGTATCTTCGTTTTCCGATTAGGTAAAATGAATCCCATCGCTCAGCGAGACTAGCGTGCACTGTCTCGAAGTCCAAAAGCTGTGGATGCGCAATTCACTGAAAGTGTAAGCAAAACATTTTTTTTCACAAAGATGACCTGTATGATATGTTGTTCGTAATTACGATGAACTAAACACTGATATCAGTGGTTAATCGCGAGATTACCAAGTTGGCGGTAATATAAAAGGAATTATCGTGAGAAAAACAGGTCAGTCGTGAGTCTAATCTTCAAAAAGTAGTTGTTGGAGGAAAAGGCAGGTGGCCGTTCAGTGGCAGGTGTAGATAGATCAACTGAAGATTAAAAAAGAAATGTAGGTTCATTTTTATCCTAAATTGTGCGAGTTGCTGAACAAGACTGATTTAGAACATATCGTTCCCAATGCCAAAAGCACAAATGCTCGTTTTGCAGGGTTGCTTCCGTGCCGTTCATTCAAGTTTCTAAGTCGCGCAAAAAGAGGAATAGTCTTCCGTCCAAATAGCTGAGTCATCGATGATAATGACTTAGGTGGCGATATATAAGTATTACTAGTAAAGCCCATTTGTTTTTCGCTACAGCTTTTATTTCCGCCTGAAAGAACACTGTTTCGTCTATTATCTAACCGCCACCTATGTGACGTAGTTGCTATAGTTATAACAACTACGTCAGTCGATATTGGTCTAAAATTTTTCACAACGAAAATACATCATATTAGCAACATTTAAAACATCCTATGTTGATTATCTCCGATAGCTTGCGTACCTTCTTGATATCTCTTAAATTTGTTCGCCAGGTGATTTCATAACCAGGAATAATGAGGCACTCCAAGCCAAAGATCGGCCAAGCACCAAACATAAAAAGTTGGTCAAAACTTAAACTTTAGTATTCTGATCTACTAAAAAAACAATTCTCTTTAACTTCATCGTAACCTGGATCTTCGTTTAAGCTATAAATTAGTTATAATATAACCATGTGAACATAGTGGGTTCAGTGTTATATAATAAGTTCAGCTGATTTCACTTGAATTTATATTATATTAATATTAATAACAAAAATGAAATTGAAAAAATCATGATTTAGTGCATGCACTCAAGTTTTTAATTAAAGATTTCGATCAATATATGCACGGCAGATTGTTCGGGAGTTTTAACAAACTTAGCTTCAGCAAACCACAGCGCTTCTCATAGCGCGATTCCTTCCATAAAAGCCACATTATACCCACACATGCCAAGAAAAGCAAATAGCCCTTCTGAAACTGATCTCTATCTTCCATACATTACCGTTAGCTCTTGTAAAGTTTTTATGCAATAAAGTCAATAAATGTTTTCAGTATAAATTAATATAGGCGAATATTGAATGGTAAATTCGACACAAAAGAGAACTACATGATCACACTGGCCGAGCATAAAAAGGAATACAGAAAATAACATGCCAGATCGGATTTTGGTGGGCACGACAAGATTTAAAGAATCTACTTAAAAATGTTCACCAAATTCCATTAGCCGGAGCCAAAAAGTAAGTTACGAAAAGTTTTACATAGTGTGTTAGTTATTAAAATAATGAAGTATAAGGTCGAATCTGATCGTTTATACTCACTCCGTCACATGTATGAGCCAATGCATAACGTTTACATTGATCTTGTAGCGCTATCTAGAAGGAGCAATTTTTTGGATGGTAATGAATCGCAATACTTGCGACCCCAGCATAAATAGAAGATAGAAGAAATACTTGAGAATTATATTGAAACAAAAAAAAATTTGTAAATAGGTTGGAAGGCCGCACAACCCTTAGTCTAGGGGCTTTGTAGGAAACGTTGTTAAAAACCTTTCTTCTTTAGATTTTTGGGCCTTCTTTGACCTGGATTGTTTCACAATTTTCGTCTCGTTTAGATTAGGCGCCTTCGGTCTCGTAGCCACGCGGTCCACATGTTCGAATACTTCAGCTACTCAAAGCTTATCTAAAGCGCGTCTTGTAAACAAGAGATTTAAGTTATTTTAATCTGATTTACCTGAAGGTGCACAATAAAATAAAAGCGCGCGGTATTAAAGGACAAAAAGCATGCTGGCTCTGCATTCATGGCGAAGTTCTAAACCCGACTGCTAATGGTGTGTCGCGATCACTATCCAGCATTGTCTGAGGAGGAAGCTGTCTCCTGGTAAAGGCTCAGTATGTATTGATTAAAACACCAATGAATATGTGCTTAATTAAAATATGATCCTTAGCAGAACATCATCCAATTCGAAGCTCTATTTATCTCACGAGCTTGAAATTCTCTAAAGTCAGTTTTATGCAATTGCGAGTCAAATACGTAACACACCATTCTATTTGCGTATGCGTCACAGTTAGTTGTTCCAGTGAAACGTAGGTACTTTCTTGAAACGAGTTAGCAACTTGATCGATCTTCGAATTTTTGCTAACAAGACCGGACATTTCGCATTGAATTGAATTAGCTGTTACAGTCAAACCGGCGGAGTTTGAAATTTTTATATTTGACTATAAAATACTTTAGTCTTCTCTAAGCTTATAAGTGAAAATAATTGATTTTCGCTTATAAGGTATAGGAAAAAGAGTTTAGAAGGAGAATAACATAACAAAAACATCCTCTAATTTCAAAAGTCAACAGTGTCTAATTAGTGCAATTAGGCAAAAGGCATTAAGCGTCAGTAATGCAATGGTACAATTCAAGAATGCTGACTGAAGTGTTGAAAACCAGCCGGGAGATGGCCAGTTGAAGGGATCTCATATGGTTTGAGGTGAGGCTTGATCTCTATGGCCAGCGGGTGAAGAACCAGGTGGGAAAATGGTGCCACCCTGGAACCATCGAGTTCGGTGGCAGTGACGAAAAATTTTGACTAGAAAGTGATAGTAATGCTTGCAACAAGCACAAAAGGGATCTGCTGCTATGAGATACTAGCCGAAAATAAAGCAGCGAACACAACTTGCTTCTTAAATTTCTCAAAAGACCCATAGATTGTTAGCACGGCAATCGAAAGCACGCAATAGGCTTACTTGGTGACAACGTCAGCTTATTACCATACCCCATTTGTTATTTAGATTGGACTAAGGGGTACCCAATGTTAGGTCCAGCTTGCTTATATTTCCGATCTAACTCCATGTATAAGGGTGATCATATCACACTATTGATATACTTCAAAAAGCCATAGAAATTAAATACGGGAACGCGAATGGTAGCTATATGGCTCCAAAAAGTGCCAGAGCGCTGTGTGCACTATTGTATAAAATAGAAGAGTATTTCTAAAAAATATTAAACTATTATTCTAGCCCAACTAAAAAAGTTATTAAATTTTCAAGATCGTCCGTTGAATCCGTTTGTAGCAATGTGTAATAGATTTAACCTTTCAAAACGTAATTTACATTTTCGCAGTTACCGTTATATTTACTGCCCGTAAAGGATCCCTACTGGTATAATGAACTCTACATAATATTATGAAATTAATCGGCCAATTAAAAGCCGGTATGAGCGGTTCGCGTAATAGCGTTCTCCAATATCACATACCAAGGCGATTGGCTTAAAGAATATTTTGAGTGTTGGCTGCTAGGCTTGTAGTATTTTTTGCTGTGTTCTGAATGGCAGCTGAATATCCTCGGATTGTCGTAATCGCCGTAAAAATATGCGCTTACGCCAGGTAACCTAGTACTACAGAAGAATTAATTTAGAATTTAATCTTTGTTTTTGCCTGTGGCTCCATTCAGCGGTCGATACTTTTGTGTAATGTTTCGAAGGTTTAACAATATTATCTGGTTCGTGCACTTGTCGGTTCTAGCAGTAAGTCTTTTGGGTCGTTGTTGTGAACACAGAACGTCCGTCGCCGGGTTTAACATAACTAGTGTATCCTTTCTTTGTCTAATTGACCATCTTTAACCGTGGCGTTCGATGGCA